CTCGACAATTTTGGGGCATGCAGAGTTATTGGTATGATCTTAACGGTTGTGTATTTGTCTTGCTTTTGAAGAAACAAATACCCAGTTATCTTGAATACAAGTCGAGACCTTTGCTAGTGAAGGAGGTAGGGGTCACCTGGTTTCAGAAGTAAAATTAGTGGAAAATAGCCGCCATAGTTTAGCTTGAGAGTCCGTGGAAACAGAAAATGTACACTTTTTGTGCCTTTAATCAACGTTTTTCAAAGCTATCCACACAGGAATGTGTTCTTTAATGGACTTGAAAGGTGTTCAGCCAAAACAATACAAATTCAAAATTCCCAAACCTGTGGGGAAAATGCTAGTTTCTTCAGTTCCATTATAGTGACGAGCCCCTAATGTCACCACGCTACCTCACATAGGGTTATATTCTACACGGTGACACTACCAACACGCTACCTCACATAGGGTTAGGTTCTACACGGTGACACTACCAACACGCTACCTCACATAGTGTTATATTCTACACGGTGACACTACCAACACGCTACCTCACGTAGTGTTATATTCTACACGGTGACACTACCAACACCTTGACACAATGACACATCGAAGGTAATAATAATAGCTCGTCCGTCAATGGCTGACGATAACCAATACGTCTACAAAGGAGAATATTATGTCTCCAGCGAAATAGAAGAATTGGACAAATTTAAGGTTAAAATGACGTGGGGCTTCTGCTGCGGCCAATATGAGCCTATTTCTGGCAGAGAAAAGTTTGAGCCATTTTAAACATTTAAAAGCTCCAGTTCCACTTGTGGATGTGCTCAGCTTGCGGCTTCTCTTTGTTTCAGCTTTTCTTACCTGTGAAGCCTCATTTGATGCCAGGCCCACTGTGACTGCTGACACATTGACAGGCTCATTCTACAATTAAAATACAAAAATTCCCCATACTCAGGACTTTGCGAAGTGAAGTAGAGAGACGGAGACATGAGGGGCCAAGGGTCGTTTCTTCGTTAGTTTGTGTATAATACTCGTATTGTGTTTTACGGCACCATCGATAGAACAGGGCATTAAAGATTGTTTTTTGGGGGTTTTTTTCTTTATTTTTGTTTTGGTGTGTGCGCGGTTTAAGAACCATTGACCATCACCGTCGGTTCATGTATTCCTCCCTGGACCGTTTCCTTTGTAATCTATGCTCTCCCTCAATATCTACTCATTTTCCATTGCAAGTTCTGGACCAGAGCTTTACTTTAGTTTTAAATGAGTAAGCAGAAGCACTTCACCACAATTCTTTAGTGTTAGTGGAGTTTTTACTGCTCTTGCAATGGCATAACGTCATATGAGCGCCAAGGGGTGCTTGTCAACCGGGAAGTCCTTACAGGGAATCAGACTTACTCTGCTCACCTCTCTAGCTTCAACAGGACAAAGTCTGCTTCGACTATCAAGGCACCTCGGAAGGAGCGGATCACAAGAGTGTGACAAATATACAAAAGAAGTAGAGGAGAAATGACGATAGTAAGGATTAGGAAAGAAAAAGCAACAGTTCCCTGTTGCAGTTCAGGCACAGTTATGAGCATAACATAGATGAACCAGCCCATTTACATGTTTATGTCCCTCCTTTGGGAATTGCCAAAAGACACTTCAGTCTGTAGCACCGCCCCGGGGGATGGACACAATTCTTGCAATTAGTCGCGGGATAAGGACGATAGACAGACTGAACAACAGAAGTGTGTTTTTTAGTGGTACTTACCAGTGGTGTTCTTCAACCACCAGCCCATCTGGACAACATCAGAACAAACATTATTACATTTTTCAAGCCAGAGAACAATGTCTTCTCTATAATATACACTTGATCCACTCAAATAAAACAGCACGCAAACATCGACAATACCTGAGAGCAGAACTGTGGGCGTCACTTCATCATACTCTCTCATCACCCACATTCAAACGAACAGCACATAGACATCGGAGGAAAAAACAGAATGCTTGTTTAGCCTTTTCAATACTGTGTAGACTCAGGCACTCGCTTGCTAAAAAAATAATTTAAAAACCGGTTTCGTGTCACTTTTTATACTAGTCTAAATGGGAAGTATTAGGAAATACCTATATCCACAGCTTGTATAGCTTTTTTATTTTTATATTCAAATTATTCTTAAATAAAAGGAAATGTGTGTATTACGTTTTTGTTTAATTCTCTCTTGCTTAAACATTTTAAAGGGTGCTCACGTGGCCTAGAGGCTAAGGTGTTGGCCTCTCATTCAATCAAAAGTCCCGGTTTCGAATCCGGGTAGCGACCGAAACATTTTCTTCTCTAAAATTGACTCCTTTCACCTCCTTTCCTGCTCTCTAGCAATATTGTGTCGTGTGCTTTCGTCTCTTCTTTCTGCCCCTCCCTTACCCCCTTTGCCCCCTCCTCTAGGATCCTGACTCTTTCTGTAGCCTTTCTACTGCTACTCTTTGGCTCCTTCTTACTTCTGTCTTTCAGCCACTCCCCTGATCTCTTGGTTGGAAAAATCTACACCTAGCCTTCTCTGACAAGAGCGAAACATCTGGGAGGGCCCGTGTGCACGTTGCGCACGTTAAAGATCCCTTGGTGGTCTAAAATCGATAAGAGTAGGTGTCGGCTGCTACCCAGACAAAACTCAAAATTTCCTCCCAACTGTAAACATTAGGTGTGTCTGGCGCACTCATATGACCTTATGCGGTTGCGAGCGCCCTAAACACAAAAAAAAAAAAAAAAAAATGTTTACCTTTGCAACAACGCTGATGGACCAGATGGAAACATCTCAGCAATGAAAGGGTTAAGCATGATTTACGGCACCATCGACTCAATCAGGCAAAAAGGATACAACAACTTCTCCCTTGAAGTCCATGGCCTCCACCACCATGTCAGCGGCCTCTTTGATGGAGACCTCATCCTCTTCACCCACTGTACACAAAGAAGAACTCACAAAAGTTAACGAGATCATTGCTTTGGAAGACTTCATTTTTACTATAAACATTGTCTGCATAATTACACTCTCAGCTTAGACATGTATGCAAAAGAACAAGTCTCATAAAGTGGCCCCTTTTAAGAGATCAAAAACAGTACAAATATTAAATTTGAAGACGGCAGTGAGAAAAACAGCACAGACACATAGGTGATAACTTTAGATAATGGTCTATTGTCTAATAAATTAAAAAAAAGAGGATATGGGCAAGAAGCTTACTTCGGTTTAATTTGTATAAATAGGATCACTTAGACATAGTGACTGTCAGCGCCGGAAAGGGCAAGATAGACAGACTAGAACAACAGAACGGAAAAGTAGAACTGACTAGTGGCGCCCTCCAGCCACCCGCCCAGATAGAAAGAGTAGCACAAATTGTATAATCTTTCAAGACTGAGGACGATTAGATATGTTCCTAAACAGTAACATTCAAAGAACAGAAGAAGGGTAGATAAGAAAACAGACATTTAATAAGAAAGAAAAAGGAGTAAACGACAAATTTCTGAATCCCTTCTCTTTTGTTTTCTTGATCCTCTCAAACAAACCGCACACAGACGTTAACAGTACCTGAAAGAATTATGGGCACCACTTCATCATACTCTCTCAACACCCACAAGAAAAGTCGTCCGAGATCCAGAGAGTAAATGAATTGACGTCTTGGAGAACCTGTGCCCCAGACCACGAGAGGCGTGTTGTTTTCTGTGTGGAGTCAAAGTAATATGGTTCACATTAAAAGGTTTACTGTAATATACTGTCTTAGGAAACAGCACGAAATTGGCTGCTTAGTGAAAATGTGAAACGTGAAATGATATTGATTTGACGCCCTTACCAACACTATTAGGATATTTAAGAATCAGGACCTCCGACTTTAATCTCCATCTCTGAAAGGACCGAGCCTTATAGGAAATTCGTGTAAAGTGCCAAGGACACAACGTCGGACTGAGCTGAAGCTCGAAACCTCGAATCCGCAATCTCACGATTAGTGGTCTGGGTGCCAAACCACTAGGTTATCGACACGACTGCTTAGTCTGTTTTGGGGTTGTTTTTCGGGGGAGGGGGCTTGATAACTGGTTCACATCACTCGCAACTGCATAAGGTCATATTGAGCCTATGGGACACATTAAACATTTTCAGCTTAATTGGAAGAAATTTTTATTTTTGCCTGGGAGGCGGCCGAAGCCTACTCTTATCGATTTTTGAACACCAAGAGATCTTAAAGATGCGCAATTTGCACACGGGACCTCCTGGATTTTTTGCCCTTATCTGAGAAGAAAAGGTGTTAAAATCTTACTTACCTTAAAATCAAGGATGTGGCTGAAAGACAGCATTAAAAAGAAGACAGGAAATGGCAGTAGATAGGCTGCAGAAAGAGTCAGAAGCCTAGATGAGGCAAGGGGGTAGAAACAGAACACTTTAGAAAAAAATGTTTTCCATTGCTGTCAGTTTTCGAACCCTGGACCTATCAGATGAGAGGCAAACACCATAACCTCTAAACCACGAGAGCCCCCCGACTACATAAACGTAGGAGTCCGCCAAACGTTATTTGAAAAAGTTACGTATGTCGGGGTCTCACGCTGAGAGTCAAAATGTTATACAGAGTAGGCTTACTTCAATGCAGTGTTATGCGTAAGATCACACAGATTATGAGCTTTTTTTAGCTTCACCAGCTTTATCATATAAGACAAGATAAGATCATTTCAGGTCAGATAAGATCCAATAAGATATCATTATTGTCTAGAAGCTATCATACTGGTTGGGTGATTCATTTAAAAAACACACGCACATATTCAAACATACAAACACACACACACACACACTCACACACACATACACACACACACGCACACACACACACACACACACACACACACACACACACACCACGCACAAAAGCACACACACACCACGCACAAAAGCACACACACACACACGCAAACACATAAACACACGCGAACACACGCAGAGATATGTAGATAAAGACACAAAGAGAAAGAGAGACGGAGAGAAGGACACTCAGAGAGAGAGAGAGAGAGAGACAGACAGACAGACAGACAGACAGACAGACAGACAGACAGACAGACAGACAGACATACAGACAGACAGACAGACAGACAGACAGACAGACAGACAGACAGAGACAGAGACAGAGACAAAAAGAGAAAGGGAGAAAGTCTGTGTGTGTGTGTGTGTGAGAGAGAGAGAGAGAGAGAGAGAGAGAGAGAGAGAGAGAGAGAGAGAGGGGGGGGGAGATAGGGCGAGAGAGAGAGAGAGAGAGAAAGAGAGAGAGAAAGAGAGAGAGAAAGAGAAAGAGAAAGGGAGAGAAAGACTGACAAACACCTGTACAAAATCTTAGAGTTCTGAACCTTTTGCGCTATGTATTCTCCTCATGAGGCCAGGCAGTACGTGTCCCTCCTCCAGATTGAAGTTGTCGTGGGGCCCAAACACGTTAGCAGAGATCACGGAAGTGTAGGTACATCCGAACTGAGAGCTGTAGGCTCTGTAGACAATAAATGATGGAATCAGAAACGCACTTGTTCTGTACATCGATCAAACATGTATGTCTGACAAATCTCCATTCTACACATTCTAGCTGCATAATTCTAAGCAGCTAACTCAGTTTCTGTAAATTTTACAGGAGAGTGTAAAAAACAACAACTAAAAAGCAAGGCTATTGTACACACGTTAGCTGTTCTGTATCCAAGGTTATATCGACTATTTGGGTAGGTTAACTTGGCCGAAAGTAATTTATAAAATGTGTATTGTGGTCTCAGTCAGAAATCAGGGACAACTGCGAAAAAAAATGCATTTTGGAAGTTGGCTGTTTAGAATGCTACAGCGACGACATGCATGATCGGCACAACTCACTTGTTCCGGGCATCTACCATACAAGTCCATAATTCACTATTTGTTCGTACATCTATCATAGATGTAAGTTTGGTAAAACTCATTTGTTCTGTACATCTATTATAATAACAATGTTCTGTCGTCTGCTTGTGTTTCCACTTTCTCCCCTCACCCCCTAACCTCCTCCCCCCCCCCTTCTGGGCTCCGGACTCATTCTGCAGCCTTTCTACTGCTACTCCTCCGCTCCTTCTTCCTCGTGTCTTTCAGCCACACGCCTGATCTTATGGAAGGAAAGATCTCTACCTAGCCTTCTCAGACAAAGCCTAAAAAATGTCGTTCGTCCGGTGTTCACGTTGCCCACGTTCAAGATTAAAGATCCCTTGGTGGCCCAAAATCGATAAGAATAGGTTTCAGCCGTCAACTGGGCAAAATGTCAGATTTTCTACCATTGACCTTTTGCGGTTGCATATAATTTATATATATATATATATATATATATATATATATATATATATATATATATATATATATACTTATTATAATTATGAAAGTTCGTCTTCTTTAGTGACCTAAAACTTCCGAACCACTTAAGTTTCGAATTTGACCAAATTAATTGTGGTTCAAAATTGAGGAGCCTGAAGTCAATGTAGTTTAATCTTCAGTTTTTTATTAGCTTCGTTTAGATCTAATCTTGGGAACGTCATTCTTCTAAGACGCCAAAGTAAACAAGTGAGGTTTCCATTCACTAGCCATTCGCAATCATGATCCCAAACCTTTGAAATTCTGGAGTGTACAACCACGAAAGCGGAATAGAAAATCAACCTATACATATAATTATTGTATTGGGCAACTTGGAAACACATGTGTCACTTTTCTCTCAAGGTTTACTGCTCTGTTCCAGAACAGTTTAAATATAGTAGGCCCATGACTTACAGTTCATGTTAATGCACCGATCATTCCTTTCATCGAAAGGGGGCCTAGCTAGTATAATAATAATATCTATTTATTGTGAACGTTCGTCACTTTGGTCCCCTGAAATTTCCGAACCATTTTACTTTCGAATTTGAAAAAAAATTCAGAATCATTTAAAGAGTGCCCGCTTATATTAAGGAATCTGAAATCACTGTAGTTTAATTTGCAATTTCTCTTTTGCTTCATTTAGATCTAATCTTGGGAAAAGCCGTCTTCTAAGACGCCATTGTAAACAAGTGAGGCTTCCGTTCAAAACAAGTGCACACTGTTTCCACAATGACATGACGATCGATTTCTTTGAGTCCGTTCATCGAACTGGCAGCTAGCTAGCATATTAATATTTTTATCCATATTGGACCACCAAAGGATCTTTAACGTGCATAACTTGCCTAAGATAGATAGATAGATAGATAGATAGATAGATAGATAGATAGATAGATAGATAGATGAGTATGTGTGTATAACATTATCCCACCCTACATGTATGTTTGACAAAACCACTTTTTCTGAGAATCTACCAATGTTTTAAAAATATTAATTAGCAAAACTCACGTGTTCAGCACATCGATCATCCGTTTGGCATATGAGAAGCCAAAGTTGCTGTCGTGAGGGGGGCCGTTATGCAGCTGAGAAGGAAAAAAGACAACACAAAAACTCAAAGTTTCAATGAGCAAACAACGGAGAACTGGCAATCCATTTCACAGAATTTTACCAAGTCTGATTTTTTGTTAGTTTAGTTTTTGTTGAGGTTTTACGGTGCTCGCAACTGCATAAAGTCTATGAGCGCCAAGGGGTGGATGTCAATCGAAAAGTCCTTACAGGGAATCAGACTCACTCTGCTCACCTCTCTAGCTTCAACAGCACAAAGTCTGTCTGCTTCGATATCAAGGCACCCCTGAAATAGCGGGGCCCCAAGAGTGTGATAAACATACAAAAGAAGTTGAGGAAAAACGACGATAGTAAGGATTAGGAAAGAAAAAGCAGCAGTTCCCTATAGCAGTTCAGACACAGTCATGAGCATGACATTGATGAACCAGCCCATTTACAATTCCATTTCTACAGTGCATAAGAACTCGAGATGTTAATGCCTCCCTCCCCCCCCCTCCCTTTGGGAATGGCCTTAAGACACTTCAGTCACCCGGGGGGGGGTTGATTTTTTAATTTTTTGTTTTGTTAATTTGATTTGGAGTGACCACATTTCGGGCAACTCTTATTGTATTCAAAAGAAGAATGTGTCAGAATGTGTGGAATTTATTTATCTTTAAATTTGTATGCTGCCGGAGTGAGTAGTGAAAGCCTTTCACACACACACACACACAACATACATACAAACACACACACACACACACACACACACACACACACACACACACACACACACACACACACACACGTACACACACACACACGCACGCAAACACATAATATATTATTATTATTATTATTATTATTAAACACAAAATAATAGATAGATAGATAGATAGATAGATAGATAGATAGATAGATAGATAGATAGATAGATAGATAGATAGATAGATAGATAGATAGATAGATAGATAGATAGATAGATAGATAGATGAATGTGTGTGTATATTATAACGTCTCACCGTACTTTCTTCTGTAAGATATTACTCACTCACCATTCTTTCCTGTATGGGACGTACTGACTCACCATAATTTCATCAATAGAATATTATATAGACTAGCCATAGTTTCATCAATAGAATATACTGACTCACTGTAGTTCCATCAATAGAATATAGACTCGCCATGGTTTCAACAATTGGATATATAGACTCACCATAGTTTCATCGAAGGGATACGTTATTTTGACAGGGAAGTTGCACGTAGACATGCATGACACCACTTTCTTGACATTGAACTTGTAGCTGGTGCTCAGGACATTTTCGTTGATTAAAATGTTGGTTCTCTGAAGAAAATAGAGACAATATGAATGTGGGTCATTGGCAAGTCCTCTAGTTTAGTTTGCTTCGTCTTTTCCATCAAAAAGCTATCGTCCTTATTTTTCCTCTTTCTTGTTGTGTTCGTTACTCTCTTGTAACACATCTTTAGGTCTTATGTGATCTAACCGTATTAAAAGTGTCGTAAAATTTCTACTAGAACAATTTCTATTAGAACGAGAGACACAAGTGAAGAAAACTTTGGTCTAATTCCATTAAAATTAACGCCTTTGAGTCCAATAGCATAAAAATCAACTGTAGAATTTGTATAAATCTCAATTAAGCATTTCAGGTTTGGGCACTTTCTAAAGTCACATTGATCTAAATTACCAAGTACATTATTCTAACTACAGACTTTCTTCGGTATTTCTAGTTTTAGAGTAGAAGATAATATCAAAAGACGATATTATGGCGCGAAGCAAACATGCAGCATATATAATAATATTTGTATGGCATCCTGGTTAAATCAGGTGCTTATTAATGTCTGGGCGTATTGAGTTATTGCTATCATCTTAAAGCATGTTCATTTTTCCTGCTTTTGATGATAAAAGTATTCATCTATCTTGAATCAGACAATCGCCAATATCTCGATTTCTGTTTAAGATGGAGGGGTATTTGTAGTAGTATATAATATACAGAGAGAGTGAGAGAGAGA